AAAAGACAAGGAGTCTCAGCACACTCTCGTATGGCTACGGCAGACTGGCAGCGATTACTGCAGCAATATTACAATTTCTAATATACAATAAAATAACAGCAACAACAAATGATGTACCTGAATGGAAACAACAGTGTATTATCAGTGCACAGGCTCGCCACACACCACTCCGCACAGCACACTACGGCAGAACATCTCATTAGCATTCCGCTTTAGCATACAGTTTCACACATTAATAAACAAATGAAAAGTACATAAAACTGGTGTTGGACATGTGTCCACTAAGCACTTATTACACTCGGTGCTTGTCAGCTAATCAAACATGTTTTATGTGTCTGTACTACTTAGCTATATTGTGTGCGGAACAATACAACTCACCTCTCGTATGGCTACGGCAGACTGGCAGCGATTACTGCAGCCAGCCACACCGAGAGGGGGGGCGCTGTTTCCCCATTACACTGATATTTGTGGCAAGTGGAATAATACCACATAAACACTGTTACACTACCAGAAATTATTTCCACTGCTAATTAATTACCGTTGAGCTCAAAGGTTATATTAATAAACTGTTAATGAATGTGTATTTATGAAGACAATTTGTGAGACTGGTAAACTTATGATATGTACAATAGTCTTTCGTTCTACACGGTGCATTTCAAGGTCCTGTACCCATCCGTCGGTAAACTGTACCTGGGCTTGTTGCAGTGACCTGAAGTTACTAAACTTCATGAGTGTATGCACTCACTCCAAGAAGCGTATAATTATAAATCTGAGCGTGGTGAAAGTTGGGCAGCACGCTGACGTCTTTTGTCCACTCTTTCACTCCTTTGATTTTTTCCTCGTATCTTTTCTTTGTCTTTTCGTCGAGTCTGTCTTTGTACGGACCGGCATTGTTCTCCTTTTGTTTTGTACATTCCTTTTTTGTGCGGCAAAGAAAAAAAAAGAAGTTATTGGAACCGGAGAATGAACGTTTTGCGGTGCTGCAAATGTTTGCATTTGATGCGGTACTTGGATTGTTTTGCCACGAGTTCCCGGCATGCAATGCGCGAAAATCACGTGATTGTTGGGAGGGTGCATCCAGCCTCCTCGGCTGTAATTGGTCCAGCCCAGAGTCGATCATGACCAATTGGCCAATCCAACACCTTTCATTATATATACCCTTCCTAAAAAAAACAAAACAAAACAAAACAATAAAAACAAAAAATCGCCAGCGGCCCACCGGGCAAATGCCCGGTATGCCCGATGGCCAGTCCAGCTATGTAGTAATCTGATTACTTTGTTTTAAAGTAACGAGTAAAGATAGGGATTACTATTGCAAAAAAGTAATTCGATTACTGTTACTATCCCGTAAGCACGCTGCGTTACTGCGCTACTAAACTGTGATTTTGTTTGTGAAAGTGTCTCATGACACATGCGACATCCGTGGAAGCAACAGACGTGTGCAGATCAACAGTGGATAATATGGAGTGCGGGAAATTGCTTTGAGTTTGATTCCGTATAAAGTAACAAAAAATTAGCGTCCGCTGTTCACTCTGCGTGGGAAGAAAACTTCTTTCTACAGCGAAAAATTTAGCTTCAAATCTGAGCAAGCACCTAGCAAGCCGCCACGGGAATGTGAGATTCACAGAGAAACCCCACCACTGCACCCCCGCCTGACATGACCGCTGCAGCACCGGGTAAACCTCCACCGGCCCCACTCCTGCTAAACAGGTGAAAATAGATTTAAGAGCGAGTAATCTGTAATTAGTAACTAATTACTTTTTTCAAGTAACTTGACCAACACCGGTAACACAAGCAAGAAAAACACAAGCATGCTGGTACGGGGCTCTAGACTGACTCAGTACCTGATGATCACACTGTGTGCTCCAACAAAAGCTAACTACCTTAGTAGGTCAACTGATGAGTTTACAGTGGGTGAAGATACATACACACACACACAGTAGGGAGCAATGTATTACGCATCCCTATATCATCCTTCCAGAGTTTTTATCAATTGCGCTTTGGAAAGCAGAAAAAGAGCTCCATGGGAAGTCTTTGCACTTTCTGCCATGTTCACTTGTTGTGTGGGACCTAAATGAATTTGTTGGTTTTGGGAAAAGTAATATACGCCCGTCTTACAGCCCGTCTTAGGGACCCAGACATGACATGAAAAAAAGGCATCCACTTCTCCAAGTCCCAAGCAGCCATGGAAACAGTGTGTCTGTTATAGACCAATGCCACATTTATTATTCAGCAAAACGACAAACACAGGAGTATGAAATTCTCAGGGTGAGGATTAAGAGTAATGAGCCTGCAGGTTGAAAACTTCGAACTTAAACTTTATTTATCATTTTAATTTGTCACAGCATAAAAAGAGAAATAAGACCGGAGCAAAGGCAAGAACCATGAACGACCCAGCAGAAGTTATTTAGGGACAGAAACATTAATAAATGGAAAGAATAGAACAAAAATTAGTAAAATCTAGACTCATCAAAATAAACTGCATGTAAAGGATGGACATGGCTACCAATTCAATTCAATTCAATTCAATTTTATTTATATAGCGCCAAATCACAACATAAGTCGCCTCAAGGTGCTTCATAGATACAGAGAAAAACCCAACAATCATATGACCCCCTATGAGCAAGCACTTTGGCAACAGTGGGAAGGAAAAACTCCCTTTTAACAGGAAGAAACCTGTTAAAAGTCACACACTGACATCATTATGTTGGTTCTTTGGAGCCAGGAATGATCATATTTTTCACTTCTTAACCAGTGTTAACTTTAACTGCATCTAAAGAGTGTAGAAGTGCTTTGCACAGACAAATATAACAGCAAATGAGTACAAATGTGTAAAGTGGTTGGGTTCAGTGGTTCATATTAGCAGAAGGGAAGTCAATTAAAGCAACCGTTATCTTAATAAGGTTTAAAGTGTGACACAAACCCGAAATGGAGACAGTTGAGCTTCAAAGTAAAAGCTGCACCTTTTGAAACATGCTCACTACAGTTTCACTACAGGTCACGGACAGTTGGCAACTCAATATTTTACACCCAAGCACTGCAACCTGCTAGCAACTATAGTGAGATTTCTTTTGGTTTAGCATCCGCTTTGGTCAGGGAATGCATTTTTCCTCTACTGGTGGTTGCCGTGAGTTACTAAGGGGTTTGTAAGCCTGTGTGCCTGAGGCCGGAGAGATGCCAGCTATTCCAAAGATGGCAGTAATTGTCATTTTAATACTTACTTGTTTATTAATTGTTATATTTCAATAAAAATAGGCTTAAAGGGCTTGATTTGGCGAAAAAAAAAAATTTAAACTGCTTGCTGGAGAGTGACTTTTTGAACACATTAGCTATATATTTCCCCTTGTAATGCCTATATCATGGACTAACCAGGCAAAAACTCACTTGGTGTGTATAACATGCAGCCACTTTTGCCCTGCTGTAGCATTTATAAGTCTATAAGTAAACATATGTCCTTTTTCATGATATTGCTGTTTTCCTATTTTTTTTATTTTTAAGTTTATTTAATTAACTGTCATACAGATTTCTATAAACAGGACTGTTATGAACAGAATTGCCAGACGACCACCATTACCCCAGCCCTCCCAGCTCTTTTAAAATTAGCTTTAGAGCTATCACATTATGTGTTTTTGGTAGGTTCTCTGTTTGTGTGTCCAAATTGGAATAAAAAAACAAAATAGATGGCAACAACAGCCACAGCGGAATCATTCCCGACGATGAGATTACCGAAGGAGACGAGAACAAGCTGCCTCCGGAGGTCAAGTAGATTCCCAGGGGTAGAAGTGACTGGAACAGACAGATGTCCTTACGAGGATAGAGCTAACAGGAAAGAGACAGAGGGAGAAAGAGATAGTAATGCACCTGGACAACAGATGGTTCATCAGCAGGTCTCGCTTTGTCCTCACTGACAGGAAATGGATTGCTGAAGGCCAGACTGTTACCTAATTACTACAGGGCTACACGCACACAAACAGAAAACAAGCACTGAGAGACTTACAGTCACATAAACTCACACACATCTGCACACACACATCTGCACACACACACACACACACACACACAATAAAGAATTATGCATTTGCTTCACATGGCGAACAGATCTAGGCATTTATATAGGGGCAGGGATAGCTCAGTAGGTAAAGTGGTCGCCCCATGATCGGAAGGTCGGCGGTTCGAATCCACTTAACGGCTACCCTGAGGTACCCCTGAGCAAGGTACCATCCCTACACACTGCTCCCCGGGCGCCTGCTTAGTGGGCTGCCCACTGCTTCACTGAGTGAATGGGTCAAATGCAGAGGAAAAACAAGTAATTTCCCCATGGGGATCAATAAAGTATCCATTATTATTATTATTATATATACATCTCTCCAAATATGCATAAAATCAATAAAATATACAACACTCACTACTTATAAAGATGAAACACAATTCAAACTTACAAACAAAGCTTCTCCATGGCATAACACAGGTGGATGCTTAAAGGTCAGTGGATGGATGAGGAAGAGATAAGACCAGAGGCGGGCAAGAGCCCAGCAAATATTGTTTTTATATTGCATGCTGAATATGGTGATTTGAATTATCATGGTATCCTCTCAGCAGATGCACATTCTGCCTATAAACTGTGACTGTTTATCTCCAAAGTTATCATTTATTAAAGTGAGATTATCTGATCTTTAGATCAATTAAGATTATCTCTAGAACTCATTGATTAAAAGTTGAGTCCTAGAAAAGCAGCTGTTTGAATAATTTTACAGCGTGGAGAGTCAGAAATGTTATGCTCCTTCACAACCACATCGTGGTTTGGTCATGTCATGAATAACCACAATAACTGAGGTTAACTGAGCAGAGACACACATCGAAATATATATATGTGTTGTATATATTTGTTGTAATGGTTAATGTAGAATTTGATATGCAAGATTTAATTGTGCTAAAAAGTGAAAACACAGGAGAACAGATGGGAAAGAGACACACACAAAAAGAGGAAAGTGAAATTAAAGAGTAAGACTGTGCTTAAGATCAAGGGAAGAGAATAGAAGAGAAGATGCTCAACAAGCTGCCACACTGTTTCATCACTTATTAAAAAACACAAATAAACAGTAAACAGAAAACAAAAAACCCGACATGGAATCCATTATCCTTCATTTAGCGTTCAAATGAAACGTTCTCTGTTTGACCTTTCAAAGAACAAAAGAAAACACACTAAAGTGGAGTTTAATGACACGCAACAGGTATCCTTGGTTGAAAAGCTGTAGTAGTGACTTGACTCATTTTGCCCTTTCGGCAGTGAGTCTTTAAACCAAATCAGCCTTCATTTAGAGCGGAGGAAGGAGGTTCGATGACACACTGCTGCCTCCAGCTGAGTGTTTCCACTGTGTCGCTGCTTCCTTGGCCAGCAGTCTCTGTAATGTGGCAGCAGCTTTTCTCAGCTTACACTCCTGGATTGCATGGTGACGCAGCCCGTTATAGCGTGTCAGCAACATCTCTCACTGAGAAAGTCTAACACAGTTTTCCATCAAATACCAGAATGCACATGCAAAAACCACCAGTAAAAAGCTGCAGGCCTTTCAGCTTGCCCAGCTCCAGTCATTGTTAACTAGAGATGGAGACGCCCTCAAAATAGAGAGAGCTGCCGTCTCTTGTGAAATTAAAACAAGCGCTGCTTTAGGTGACAATAACCGACTGCGGCCACAAGATGAAAGTAATATAAAGGCTGGATGTGCACATCAAGTGACAGCAAGGAGCTTTATGACACTGAGGTGAAAGGAGAGATAGCTTTACTTATGTATGTTTTAATTTCTGTCTATTTTTAGATTTAATAAGGCAAGTACTGCTTGCGTATTACTTATCTTCTTTTAGGTTTTAAGATTTTGGTAAATGGACTTATTCTTATAATCACTTCTAAACCCTATTTGTGCTCTTATGGCACTTTACACAGCATGTCTCATACTACTTTTTATACAAGCACAGCTAAGTGCTTTCTAGCTAACATTCACGAAATGTTGCATAAAGTGCAAAATATTCCTAAGCCTAACCTGCATGTCACAAGTATTGTGAGAATGGAGAATTTGTTTTTCCCGACGGGAGCAGGCAACATTCAAATGTACAAAAGCCTTAGCTATTTGGATAATGACAAATTTTGTACTTTTCCCTCTGTAGAGAATCACAGTATAATTAATTCAAGCTATTGAGCTCTGAATGAACTGCAGGTTGTCAACTTTAATTTAAGGGCTTAATGAAAGTTGTGCATTAAACATTTTTATACATATCCTTCCATTTTCACACGATGAAAAGTAATTGGAAAAATTACTGGCTAGCATTTTCATGATAAAGTGAGGACTTCAGTTCAATTCAATTTTATTTATACAGCACAAAGCTTTGAAGACCTAATTCAATTCAACTTGCATTTGATAGCTTTTTACTAAAATTGTCAATATGAGCAGTAAAGATATGCTGATGCAAGTGAAGGGGGCCATTATTAGGCTGATAAACTAAAATAAGCCCATTATTGAATCACTAATTTTGCACAGTCATAAAAAGAAGTAAAGTCTAGCTAAAGTAGACAATTCTTTTTTGGTTAGGAAAAAGTGCGTCCAGACCACGCTCAGGGAGGCAGACATCTCACTGTCAAAGTCAACAATGAAGACAAATGAAACTAACATGAGATTGTACCTGAATCGCGCGAAGATCGGAAGAAAAACAGAAATAGCTCATAATCTATAACAGTATGCCACATTATGGGTCAAACATGGCAGAGGTAGTGTTATGGTTTGGGCATGTATATGGCTGATAGCTGAATCAGGCCACTCGTGTTTACTGATTATGTAACAAGTGACAGAAGCAGCAAGATGAAATAGAAGCGACACTATACTACTATATATTATACGATGCTCAAATTCTGTCAAATGCTGCAAAACCGATCAGACAGTCCTTCACAGTGCAAATGAATAAGGACCCAAAGCAAGTCAAGAGTTTCTCAAATGAATAGAAATGGCACATTCTTCAATAGCCAAGGCAATCACGTGATCTTGATCAATAGAGCATGTTTTCCTATTACAAAATACAATGCAGAAAGACTGAAAAACAAGCTGCAACTGAAGATTCTGCAGTAAAGGCCTGGCAGATCATCAGGCAGATCATCAGTATTTAGTGATGTCCATGAGTTCTAGACTTCAGGCAGTTATTGACTGCAAAAGGATTTGTCCAATTAATTTGGAGCCTCTAAAATGTGGGGGGTTGTGTATAAAAATGTCTGTAATTCTTGAACAGTTAATGCAAAATGTTAGTGCCATTGTCTTTTATACCAAGAGATAGTGTTATAGAATTTAACTGTCAAATAAATCAAAAAGTGTTTATTTGGTTTGCTGCTGATATACATACGAGAAGATGCAGTTAAACACAGAGTGCATACATATGATGAATAAATATAAAAGCCTGAAGCTTAAATATAAAAGATCACAGGAAGAGCACACCTGTCTGATAGTCATAGCTGTGACTGTGTGCATGTATTATATATATCATTTTTTTTAAACAGACACAAACACACACACACAGGCTACTTTTTATGCAATATTATTCATAGTTTTTAGTCATGGGGCTGGCACAGAGAACTGGAGAGTAAATACATCATTGGAACATACTGGGGACTTCACAGAACTGCAGCACAGGCCTGTCAATTTCCCATCTGTTTGCAAACTATGAATATTTAGACAAACACACACAAAAAGACTGAACTTCCTGCCATGGTTCAACCTCAGCAATGCTTTACATGCATTTTGTGAACAACCCCTCCCCTGAAAGTGCCACCAGGATGAAAGGTACAGCTAGGTTTATGTATTATGAGCTTAATTAATTCTGGTGTAGGAGAGGTGAGGTGTTAGCTAAATAGCTAATCCATTGATTGCTAGTTTTAGGGGGATCAGTTTAAATGATCAGGCACCAATAACATGAATTGCCCCTGAGAACAGAGAGGTGTATGGATTTGGGCATGATGGAATGTTATTACTACCCAGGAATGCATCTTCATTTTAAAGTAAGTGTAAAACGGTCCTTTTTGATAAAGCTAGTCGGAGGTTACCATGAACCATCTCTTAGTTATGCTCCTACATGCACAGACTGCTGTTGGACTTCCTGTGATACACTGTGCACTCCATCTCACCTCTTCACTCCTAACATGTAAAAACCACTGCAGCACGTCATTATATTTTCATGTTCTCTCTTACTTACACTGTTTTGTGTCTCCCTATGCTCTCATTTGCTGCCCCCCCCCCCCCCCAACTCTGCTTCTGCTGGAGGTTACTTCCTGTTAAACAGGTGTTTTTCCTTCCTACTGTTGTTTTCTCCAGAATACTGTAGGATCACCTACAGTTCACTCTATACTTTAAAGCACCTTGAGGCGACTGCACTGAACATACCTGGTAAACAAAAAACAAAAAACAAAAAACAACCTGGTAGCAGAAGAAAGCTGTGTTTCATCCTCTATGGCAGGTTTTACTGTAATAAGATGACACTTCATAAAAGCTTTGAATGAAACAGTCTAGTCACTGATCAATCAGTTAGGAATTTAAAACACTACTCTGCAGCACTAATGGAAGCCAAGAACTTGATAGGATGCATTACATTTGCTGAGATTAGTTCTAATGGCTGTTTTTAAAAAAAGAAAGAAATAAAAAGCTGAAGATAAAAAATTATTAGCACACAGCAGAAGTGATTATGGGATATTTGCACAATGTAGAGGAGAAAAAAATTAAAGGGTAATTTTTAAAATATGCAGTGTTTTTGCACTTTTTCCCCTTAATGCATTTATCAGTGTTATGCTTTTTTTGCCGGATTAGTATAGTCAGACTAATAACCATAATACATTATTTTTAGTTAAAAAAAAATAACAAAAAAATTATAATTGTAAATGAGTGCTTTTTCATAATGCCAGTTTGTCAAATGTGTGAGTGCCACTCAGCAGGTGTATTTTGCCTCCTTGGCATCCCTTTTACAGACGTACAACGGTCACATTAGGAGGCTGTGACATAGAAAGGTGAGGTCACTTGGACCTTTCCGTTTTACGCTTTTTCTCAGAGGTTGCTGGAGACATCTCGTTTTTCATTCTGATGGACAGAGTTGTTAGAAATTGTGTTGTGATGTCATTTTACTAGTCATTTTTTTATTTTAATGATAATGGTATGCGTGTAATGCCTTCCATCTTCAAAAACATCTTGATCACAATAACTAACAGAAAAGAGAATACATTTATAAGGAAAAGAGGAGAAAACAATGGTCGGTTTATAGTTGTGCGAAAACACTTCAAGCTGAGAAGTCATTCAAAGTCACTAAAAATCTCCTACAGGGCAACTTTACAATCCTGCAAGCAAAGAGGAAATCCAGAAGTAGGAGCTCCTTCTGCATGAGGGAGCAGCTACACCTATGGCCCTGTGTAATGTGTAATTAAAAGAGACCCTAACCCTTATCTGGCCGACACTGCTGGCACTATTCTTAAAGGTATGGCATGCGATTTTATTTTTTCTTTTAATGGTACAGCAGCTAAACCGTCATGTTATCTGTCATAATGCCACAGAAGTTTACATCCATTCTTCATGGGCATTAATGTCACTGTAATTTGGGACTTTAAATCGTTTCTTTGAACTGTTCTTTTTCCAAGTTGGAATGATTGCACAACAAAAGTCTTTAAGTGGAAATATTATCTGAATTTCAGGAGTGGGACCACACTTCATTCACGCCCCTTCTGGCCTCAGGATATATATGGTCCCTTCACCAATACCTGCTGTTCTCATTTTCACGCCCCACCCTTCTCCCTCCCCTTTTCCTTCTTTCTTCTCTTCTTCCTTTCCTTCACTTCTCGTTAGTACATGGGGATCTGCCCGGCCCGGGAGCCACTGCCAGTCCCCTTCCAGGCCTTCCCCAAACCGCAGCACCGGTACACGGTCCCTCATCCATCATTGCTCATCGTAACTGAGCCTGTGGTCCCAGCTGGTGAAAGACTTTAAAAAACACAAGTTTG